GCTGTTATATTTGCTTATAATCTTGTTGCTTATAAATTTAAAATTTTATATTTCTAATATATTTAATTATTAAAATCTAAAAAATAAAATTACATTTAAACATATATGTCTTTTTTCTTTTGGAAATTTATTTTGAGTTGATAATATAATGTGAACTAAGCCAAATATGCTTTTTCTGTTATGGAAGTCTTGTAACTGATTTAACACCTTAAAATCTAAATTTTATAGTAGTTTTTCCCCTCCAAAAAGGCTTTCACAAAATGTTACATTTTGTGGTGTCTCATTTTGGACAATTTTCAAGAATTTTCATCAGTTTGGAGAGACAGTTTATTATGCTGTTTAGGATTGTGACTCCGGAATTAGACTGCCTGTGTTTGAATTTTGGCTCCTTTACCTATTAGTAGTGTGACCTTGGACAAGTGTCTTAACTTCTTCATATCTAAATTTCCTTATCTGTGAAATGGAAATAATAGTGCTTATTTCATGAGAATATTCTAAGGATTGAATGAGTTGATACATGTAAGCACTTAGAGCTCTGGTGCCTGGCATATTGTAGACACTATTATGTGTGTTAAAGAAATAAAATAGAGTCATTGAAAAAGCTTATGTAAATGATTAGCTTACAAATTTTGCTTTTGTTTTGCAACAAAATAGTAACTTCTGAGCATCGTATTGCTATAATGACAAATGGGAAAAGCTTGCTGATATTTAAAATAGACTTTCAAAACCATGTAAACATTTATTATTTTAACTAAACTGTAATAATTCCATTTTGAAGATGGGGAGGGGAATGGTAGGAGTAAGAATGCTAATTCTTCATATGCCATAGAAGGAAGTAATTGATAATACACATGTAGTTTTAAACTGTTTATTCTGCTTTAAGGGCATTTTGTAGGGAGGTGGAATGGCCTATCAAAAGGTGAGTTCTCAGAAGATTAAGAGTTGAACATGAAAGGGTGAATGAATGGGTACTTCTTTAGCAAAAGCCACCTGGGCAGGAGGAGTCTTATATCTGTAGCCAGTAGAAACTTTAGACAACTATAACATAATGAAATGGTTTGGTCATTGTTCAGAGCACGTTATTAAAATAATTTAGGCTGGGAGAGTTGGCTCATGCCTGTAATCCAGCACTTTGGGAGACCAAGGCGGACGGATCACGAGGTCAGGAGCTTCAGACCAGCTTGGCCAACATGTTGAAACCCCGTCTCTACTGCAAATACAAAAATTAGGGCACGGTGGCTCACGCCTGTAATCCCAGCACTTTGGGAGGCCGAGGCGGGCGGATCATGAGGTCAGGAGTTCAAGACCAGACTGGCCAACATGGTAAAACCCCATCTCTACTAAAAAAAATATGCAAAAATTAGCCGGGCATGGTGGCTCGTGCCTGTAATCCCAGCTACTTGGGAAACTGAGGCAGAAGAGTTGCTTGAATCTGGGACCTGGGAGGCGGAGGTTGCAGTGAGCAAGATCCTGCCACTGTACTTGAGCCTGGGCTATAGAGTGAGACTCCATCTCAAAAAAAGAAAAAAAAAATACAAAAATTAGCTGGGTATGGTGGCATATGCATGTAATTTCAGCTACTAGGGAGGCTGAGGCAGGAGATTCGCTTGAACCTGGGATGTGGATGTTGCAGACCCGAGATTGCATCATTGCACTTCAGCCTGGGTGACAGAGTGAGACTCCATCTCAAAAAAAAAAATAATAAAAAATAAAAGAAAAGCCATGTGATACAACAAAAACGAAATGAAAATTAGTGTCAGGCAATTCAAGGATTATGAAAATTATGAATAGTTTCGCTAAAAGGGACCATATAATTCACTTTGTCTTTCTTTTTTTTTTTTTTTTGAGATGGAGTTTCGCTCTTGTTACCCAGGCTGGAGTGCAATGGCGCGATCTCGCCTCACCGCAACCTGCGCCTCCTGGGTTCAGGCAATTCTCCTGCCTCAGCCTCCTGAGTAGCTGGGATTACAGGCACGTGCCACCATGCCCAGCTAATTTTTTGTATTTTTAGTAGAGACGGGGTTTCACCTTGTTGACCAGGATGGTCTCGATCTCTTGACCTCGTGATCCACCCGCCTCGGCCTCTCAAAGTGCTGGGATTACAGGCTTGAGCCACCGCGCCCGGCCTACTTTGTCTTTCTTATTTGTGAATGAAAAATCTGAATTCCAGAGAATTAACTGATTCACTAAGGCTGGTAAATGCCCTTTAGTTAGTGGTGGAGTTGAAACTGCTTACTAGTTGTTCTGTCTGCTAGTCTAAGAGTTCTTTCTATAAAGTGGATAAACCGTGATTGTCATTACTAATTACAAATTTGCTATGCAGCAAATTTGCCCAAAGCTTTATGTCTTAAAATTACCATTTCATTTTGCTCACAGTTTTATGACTTAGGAACGTGGAAAAGGCATCCGGACAGTTCTCACTTTGGGTTAATATGTGGTTGCAGTTCGTTGTTGGCTGCAGCTGTCATCAGAGGGCTTCAAACTGTGATGGAGATCTAAGATGGCTCACTCACAGGGCTGATGGTCGTTGCTGGCTGTCCACTGGGAACTCAGCTGGCTGTTGATCAGTATGACCACATGTGGTTTCTCCAGCATGGTGGTCTCAAGTTGGACGTCTTACATAGTGACTCACTTCTCCCAGACCAACAGCCCAAGAGTAGAAGCTGAAGAGACTTTTCTGAGCTAGCCTTGGAAGTAACATAGTGTCACTTCACTTCATCCTTTTTAGTTGTAAATGAGTTGCTAAAATATGCCCAGATTCAGTGGGAGGTGATATAGATCCCACCTCTTGATGGGAAGAATGTCAAAGAATTTGTAAACATGCTTTAAAACTTCCACAACCAGGATGTGACATTAGCCATTCTTTTCCCTGGATTCAGTTGATATCTAATAATAGTAGGTAGTGATAATAGCTAAATAATGTACCAATAATTTATTAAAAACTTTCTATTTTAGTGGCACTACCTTTTGAGAAAAGCTACAACTGATAATGTAATGCCTCTTTAGCCAGTAATGGCTGTTACAGAGTTTTAATGAAAATCAAAGCTTTCCTTAAGTATAATAGTTACTGTTGTACATCAAGAGACTAAAAGCTGATATTTAGATTGTAAGATATTTTATTTTATTGTCTTTATTTATTTTAAGACAGTCTTACTCTGTTGCCCAGGCTGGAGTGCAGTCAGGCGATCGCGGCTCACTGAACCCCTGCCTCCTGGGTTCAAGCTATTCTCTTGTCTCAGCCTCCCAAGTAGCTGAGATTACAGGTGCACACCATCACGCCCAGCCAATTTTTGTATTTTAGTGGCGTTGGAGTTGTGCCATGTTGGCAAGGCTGGTCTTGAACTCCTGATCTCAGGTGATTCACCCACTTTGGCCTCCCAAAGTGCTGAGGTTACAGTTGTGAGCCACTGCGCCTGGCCTGTAAGATATTTTAGAGAGTGAGTTGACCTTTATCTTTGTGAAGCAAAAAAAAATACTAAAATTTTACTTCTATTCATTGTAGGTTAAAGAACAAAATATATATTTGAATTTAATTAATAACGAGGCCATAAAACTACTGTGACTCTTCTGTTAGTCTCTTCTTGGGGTTGTATATCCTGTTTTAATCTGGTTTGTTTTTTATTTATTAATGGAAAACATTATTTTATTAGGTCTAATGGCCTACATGGAATAAAAATTCCATTGGGGCTAGGCATCATAAGCAAGAGTTTGTGTGATTTATTTGGAGAGAAATATGATAATTTCCATCAACTCTTTTAAAAATAAATGTGATTGTTAAAGTTTGCCTTTACTTTTGTTCTTCTCAAAGTATTTTTTAAACATATATTAAAATTGTCAAAATGTAAGACTATAGAATAGGTTAAGGTGAAAATAGATGAAGGGATAGGATAGATGGAAAGAGGATGATATAGTAAGAGTACTCATACAGATGTTCTTGAACAAATAAATATTTTATGCCATTTAAATATTTCATTAAGGATTTTAATGCTGTGTTGCATTTTATTTGCAACTGTAGGCACAAATGACATACTTGTTTTAGTGTTTATATTTGAAATTTAGTGAAGAGCTAGATATGGTTTCAGGATTAGAGTTTCTACACCATTACCTTATAGGCCCATGGGATTATTAAGCAAACCCTTTACAAAATTATATTCTTGTAAGGTAATATATATATAAAGGAAGATAGGATGAGAATAAGAGGATAATAACATTTTAATTACTACTATAGAGTAGGAATTGTAACAGTTAAAAGATGTTTGAAGTTAGAAGTTGGAATTGGAAGAGACTCTAGATGTAATCTGATTCAACCTCTTTTAAAAAATGGACCAGGCGTGGTGGCTTACACCTGTAATCCCAGCACTTTGGGAGACCGAGGCAGGTGGATCACCTGAGGTCGGGAGTTTGAGACCAGCCTGACCAACATGGAGAAACCCTGTCTCTACTAAAATTACAAAAGTAGCTGGGTATGGTAGCACATGCCTGTAATCCCAGCTACTCAGTAGGCTGAGGCAGGAGAATTCTCTGCTTGAACCTCTGAGGCGGAGGTTCCAGTGAGCCGAGATCATGCCATTGCACTCCAGCCTGGGCAAAAAGAGCGAAACTCAGTCTGAAAACAAACAAAAAAATGAAACAGATTTGAAACTGTAATAACAGCAAGAGTTTTATTTGCAGAAAGTTTTATTTGAATGATATATATATTATGTCTTTTTAATTTTATTCATGCAAGTTGTATCGATATTTGTCCCTGCTGTATCCATATTTGTCCCTGCTGTAACAGAACATTATGTACTGAGCAGTGCTATTTATACACTTGACATTCTTCATACTGCTTCTACTTACTCTTTTTTTTGTGTAGCTCATATGAAGTAAGAGTGGAAAACGTTGTTTGTCTTGTATGGAACCCTCCCAAAATTAAGAGCATACTTTATGAAATATTTTAAAATTTAAGTTCATGTTTATTCTTTTTTTGTTTAAATTTATAACCATCAGATAATTCAAACTAAAATTATCTCTAATACTACAAGTAAATGGGTCTAGTTAGAGTTTCTCAGGGAATAGTATCTTTTAGATAAAAATAACTTTTCAAGGAAAGATTATATTCACTGTGGCTGTAATCATAAGCAGTGCCCATTTATCTGTATGCAGTGGCCAGATCTTTAATCTCTGTGACTTTGAAATACCTAGCTGTTAATATAAAATGAAATCATTTAAGATACTTTTCTCCTATGAAGCTATGAAAATATGAATGTTCTTTGTGGGAAAATTGAAAAATAGAAGAAGGTATAAAAAAGAAAACATAAGCTGGGCACAGTGGCTCACACCTGTAATCCCAGCACTTTTGGAGGCTGAGGCGGGTGGATCATCTGAGGTTGGGAGTTTGAGACCAGCCTGGCCAACATGGTGAAACCCTGTCTCTGCTGAAAATACAAAAATTAGCTGGGCATGATGGCAGGTGCCTGTAATCCCAGCTATTCAAGAGGCTGAGGTGGGAGAATCACTTGAACCCAGGAGGCAGAGATTGCAGCGAGCCGACATTGGGCCACTGCGTTCCAGCCTGGGTGACAGAAGGATAGTCTGTCTCAAAGCAGACAGACAAAACAAAAAGAAAACATTTACATTCAACCTTACCATCCAAAGATTATCACTGTTTGTAAATTTTGCTTGTTTACTTTTGTCTTTTTCCCGTATACTCTTACATGATTGAGAAGTAATCATTTTTCAAAATAAAATAAGTTACTGTGTAGATATGCTTTGAATATTCTTTTCTTTATTCAAGACACAATCCAAGTGAATCATTTGGATTATTATTTCCAAAAATAATAGCAAAAGTAGGACAATTGAAATAAAAAATTAGAGATACTTTTCATAAATGAATAGGTAAAAGAAAAAAGTTAATTTTACTTTTGGAGGCATAGGGTTTAATTTTAATTTGGTATCATAAAATACATTAATAGTGGGGGTGGGGTGGGGAATCACATAAACTGTTGGTGGGCAAGGTTTTAGAAATATTTCATGTATTTCTTTTCCAGTGCAGGAATTGATTTTATAACATTCCTGACAGTTGATAAGCCTCTCCATAAATACTTCCAATCGTAGGGAGCTTACCTAGTTTATGAGGCAGCTTACTCCTTTGATAGCTCTAATATTTAAATTCTTCTCGATCTTGTGTTAAATATTGTAACGTTCACATATTTCTTGTTTTGCCCTCTAGAAAGATTTTTATTTCCATATGACACTGTTTTAAATATTTACCTTTAGATATCAGTGTTCCCTGTTGTGCACAGTTCTTTCTTTTCATCTGTCTGGTAAACTCATTCCCTTTTAAAATCTGTGTTCTGATTCAGTGCACAGTGATGAGACATCTTTTGATAGGCATGCTGTGTCTTCATTAAAGCCCAAAGCTTTTTGTTATTTTTTTTAGCAGCTACCTAAATTGTTGGCAGGAGCCACAGAGGTAAAATAAATGCCTAGCATTTTCCTCTGGGCCCCACCTTACAGCTGACGAGTTAGAGTTCCCTTCTAGTGTTGTACTTGTGAAGTTGACGTAGAGCAAACAGTCTGATTTTAGGGGCTTACATAAATCTTTAAGTTTCATCTTATCATTCTAGTCTTTTAGGATCTTTGAATTTTATTTTTATAAGGTGACATATTAATATTCCTTCTAGCCCTGTGTGTTCTGTATTAATATTCTTTGTGTATTGTTGTAACCAGCTGTGAATTTACCCGACTTCTTTTTATGAAGCTCACATTGTTTTCATCTCTCTAGAAAATCCATCAAAAAAAAAAAGAAAGGTTAATTTGGGTTGAGAAACCATCTGTAGATTTTGTAGATTGGGAGTTTGAATCTCTTTTTCTTGGATTTTGTTGTCTCATATCTTCTTGTTTCTTTTCCAAAATGATTTGGACCTATGTCCGTATTTTGTGCCTGAAACACATGCAGCAGTGGTGCCTACTTCCCTGCTTAGGGACCGTTTAAGGCCTGAAAAGTATTCCTGAGGGCTGTGTAAATGCTGTCTGGGTTGGGATTATATTTGATTTATTTCCTCTTGTCAGTTGGACCGTCATCTTCTCTTAGGCTCCTATACTGCTTCCTCAGGGACAAATGAACCTCAGCTCCATGTCATGAATTTGGAGGGCTGGGAAATTGTGGTTATGAGAGGTGTTTGTTTTCATTTTCCTTAATGCCTGAATTCCCCACTCTTGAGAGTAATTCCTGTTTGTTAACGGTATTATACTTTCTAAAAATAAAAATATAGGACTTATGACTGATAATATAGTTATTGTTGGAGCAAGTAGTATTGGAAATCAGACTTGTATTTTAAAAAGATGTTTATTAACTGAAAACTACAATCCATATTTATTGTTAAATAAATAGAATATAAATAATAAGAAAAAGATAATATTACCTAAATCTCTATCACTTAGTGGTGACTCACTGTAAACATATGACATTCTTTATTTTAAAAGTTTTTTTATTATTTTTCATCTGTGCTATGACTTTAAAACATCTGACATTCTAACAGATTTTATGTATATTTTAATGGTTTAATGCTATATATACTCCTGTATAACTTGTCATTTTTTAAATGACAGTTTTGAACATCTATAAAAATACTAACAGATTTTATGTGTGAATATTATCAATACTTAAATGATTTCATACTGCATATGCTATTTTAAATAGCATGCTTTTCTCATTTATAATAATGATTTTTGAACATCCGTGTGGTCACAATGAATATAGAGCTCCAGCATTGTTTTTCTTTATATGGTATGAGTTTGCTATTATTTATTTACCTAATCATCTTTTATTGGGAACCAAAGACTTTTTTTTTTTTTTTTTACCATTATAAATAACATTGTGATGAATAGGTATGCATATAGTCCCAATTGACTTGTCTGTTTAATTCTTTGTGTTAAATTCCTAGAACTGGAATTCCGTTCTAAAGATTGCCATATTGCCATTCAGGGAAATTATACTACTGTATATTCTCACCATTGGTATATAAGAGTGCCCATTTTCCCAGAAGCTTAGATGCAGATAATCTCCCTTCCTAGCTGTATTTGATATCTACCATGATGTTAAGGCCAACTGAGTGGTCTGCATTTTCAGACTTCTGTCTTTTGCCTTTGCTTATGCTATATTCTCTTCTTGGCATGACTTTCCCCTCCTTCGCTTTGCAAATTCTACCTGTACTTTAAGTGTTTAAAGCCAGGACATTTATAAAACTTCATATTGCCGTGAACATCCTTGATCAAGGATATTCTTTTCTTTTTTTTTTTTTGAGATGGAGTTTCGCTCTTGTTACCCAGGCTGGAG